ACAGAAAGAGACATATAGAGATGTGCCAGGCCCCCACCTTCCCCTGTCTTATCACGGCCATCCTGGGAACCACCTCCAGCATCCAGCCAAAGGAAATCCTGGGAGCTCAGTGACCACAGGGAGGGTGCCAGGTCCTGGCTGTCAGCAAGGATGTGGATAGAGGCAGAAGCACCTAGTGCTGGGAGAGGAACTCATTCCCATGCAAAGCCAGCCTGGAAATGAGACCTTGCTGCACATGCTGGCATCTGTGACACCCGCGTGAAGCAGGTATAGATGCATATGCCAAGTGTGAGATGAAGGGGGAATCAGGCCTGGGGTGTTTTCTCTCTTTTGTCCTTTTTCCTCCCATTATACTGAATTGCTGCACATTCAGAAGAGCTTTCCAAAGTCAGGACTGACTTAGGAAGAGTTGCTTGAAATATCCTCTCACAACTTAGCCCAAAGCAGTCCTTTCATAATAGCGAAGTCACTAATTCAGCTACTCATTTATTGTACCCATACAACAACATCAAATGCATGAAATGCCTAAAAGGGGTTTCCAAACCATTCCATGCTAAAAAAAGGAAATGACCAGGAGTTCCTCTAATGGAAGCTATAACAATGTGTTGTGCAGAGCTGTAGTGCTGTAAGTGTTTTGGGCAAGTAAGAAAGCAGAGATGGAAAAAAAAAAGAAGCAGAAATATTGTACCAGCAGCATCTTTCAATATGGAAAAAAAAATTTCAAATTACTAGTCTCATTTTTAAGCTGACTCTAGGTCTAGGATACATTAATTCAACTAAATCAAACAACTTCCATACTGTGCCAAGTGAAGAAATTGCTTTACAGTCCTCTTCTGTGCAAAATTGCTCTCACAAAGAAACGAAGCGGTACGTCTGAGATTGAGCAGTTCTCAGGCTACACTATAAACCCAGAGGACAAGACTGTCTGAGTAATGCCCCTGAACTTGAAAAAAGCACGATTTATGTGAAACAGAGGAGATACAGGTAAGTTTTAGAACAGATCTACTTGAATTATCTAATGCAGTTAGCTACTGTGATTAGCAATTCCTAACCAACACTAAATGCTCCATCACACCTGTAAAAAAATGTGTTTCTAACACATAGTTGAGAAATAATGTACATCCAGTTTTAGTTATCTATAAACATATATGTATCTAACACCAGAGAGGTTAATACTTAACAGTTAAAATCTATTTCAGCATCCATATTCAGAACTAGCATTTATTAAATGTGAGTTATTAATGACAGTCTGTTGTGAGACACTTCTATGCAGAAAAACAGATACAGTGAGTTGTTTTCTCAGCTATTCTCAAAAATACCTGGTTTTCTTGTTCAGCTGAATGCCTAGGAAGAAATGCATGCAGATGTCTCTCACCAGGAATAATTCAGTTAAATATCCTATTTTTATTCTATATTCAGGTTTTTTCTTCCTTGGTTATACTGGCAGCCAGACAAATGAGAAAAGATGTCAAAAATATCACTTCCATGTTAGTTGATTTCTAAAATATGACACCAAAAGCCATTCCTCCTCCTCTATAAATAATGATAATAAGAGAGAAGGGTGAGAGTGTGTGTGCTGAAAAACATTTAGCAATCAGTGCTATGACCTCTCAATTTGGATTTAAGGTTTTTTCTGTTTGGTTAGGTTTTTTTTTTTAAAGTGGAAGAAAACCAGAAGCTCTCAGAGACCATGCAATCCTTCAGAGCAGTAATGACTTCAATAATTAACACACAAAACCCCCACCTCAGTAAGGATATGATACCCACTTACATCAACTACAAAGATCTTCTGGGAGTCATCCAGAAACTGGACTTTCAGGTGCAGCATCCTCGAGCATGTGGCTGAGCGTGCGGCAGGCGCGAGAGTCCTAGCGATGTGAGCTTTGTGCCAGGGAGGGAACCCTGACTCCTCTTGCACACATAATTTCCCTCTCAGCTGGATGGAGAAGGCTGCAAACACAGATGCGGAGTAGAGGCTGGAGCAAAGGGACTGAACTACTGAAAAGAAGTTAAGGAAAAATACTGATACCTCCCCTGGTTTAAATACCACCACTGCGTTAAATGATATTTTCCCCCTGTGAATTATGGGTCTATTAATAGGGGGAAAGGCTGTGCAGCAGCTCTGCGAGAGTGGCATTAATTGGGCTGAGGTAAAAACTGGGCTTTCACAGCTGGCGGTGAGCAACGCAAGGGAAAAGTGAGCCCATGCTTCAGACCGCGGGGCAGGGCAGAAGAGCTGAGCAGCTCTCCTACCCAAGTCACCAAGCAGCAAGCATCACCTTCTCTCTGGTCTGGGCAAGGTGCACCAAAAGACCGGCTGGATGGCAGCTGCACTTGCTGCATGAGGCGGGCAGATAAGGTCTGCCTGCTGAGCAGATGTGTGTGGGCTGAACAGATGTGCTGATGTACTTCACTGGAGACTGGGAACCAGGTGAGAGTCCTTCCTGGGGAAGGAGGTGAGGACCTGTTGCTATTTCCCAGCTTGCACCTTGGTTTGACAGCTTAGTAAAATCTCATGAGCCTTTGAGACTTTTGCACCTGAAATGCCCATGTCCCCATGTACCAACTCATCCTCTGAGTTCTGGAGCCAGCTGCCCACCCTCGAAACCCCTCAGGACTCAGCCTAGGCTGCCAGATGCAGCATCCCCACAGCATGGTGGGTGTCTGGGGCTTGCACTCATGCTGCTCCAGCTACTGCAGGGCCATGAGGAGCTGCCTGACCTCTCTTGTCTTGCAGAATCCCCTCCACCGAGCATCTGGATGAAAGCAGCATCTGGGCAGGAGCCCCTGCTTGCAGAAACAAGTGCACTGAGTAAAAGGCAGGTGATGGGCTGACAAATGGGATCATTATCGCTGCTGGAAAGAAGTCACAACCACACACAATCCTACAGGACCTGGAGTGATAGAAACGCATCTCGGCAAACCAAAAGAGCCACATTAAGTGTTGCAGAGATTTTGCTTGTTGCTTCCTTCTTGGTTTCCACTGAAAGTTCCCCTCTAATTCACTCCAAGCCATTTTCTGCAGTCCCTCTTACATTTCCCAGATATTCCTGGGGATGTCAGGACAGAACCTGTCAGGGCATACACCCAGCTTGTTATCTGGTGCGCAGAGAGGAAAAATGTTGAGATTTTTAGCTACAGAAAAACTTAGTATTCTGCTGCTAACCAGAACAAAAAACAACAACAACAACAAAAAAAGCCTAAAAGTTGAAGCCAGTCTGCTTTTCCATGTGCATCTACTCCACAAAGCAGTTGAGCTCATTGTCTGCCCACGGCCGGGAGGGGCTGGCAGTACCGAGCATGCCAGTGCTGCGCTCAAGAACCAAATTTCCAGTGCTGCTATTTGCCCCAGGGTCTGAGCATTTTGTGTCCAGGGAGAAGGGCGGTGTCCCATACAAAACATCTGTGGGGGGCTGAAAGCACTTTCCTTCTGCAGCTTCAAATGTTCGCGCTGTCAAATATTGATGGGCATAAAGGAGAAGAGCATCACTCCTGTGAGCGGCTCACACATCGCAGGCACAGCTCTGCCGTGGAGGCCTGGGAGCACAGCAGGAGCACCGGACTGGCAGGAAGGATGCACAGGGGTGCGATGGAGGAGCCCCCAGACCCCAAGAAGAAGCCAAACCAAGCTTTCCTAGTATGCCAGGACCCCAGCCTCCATGGATGCCATTACAAGCTGAGTATTGATCACCTGGCTTGTGGGTGGAAGAAAAGGGTTTATTTCACTGCCACGGCATGAAAGAAGGGGACTGTGCTGGGTTTATCAGGGCCTTTAGCTGCACTATAGAGGCATCAGTACAGACAGTGTAGAGCCAGTGGAGACAAACAAGGTAAATGAGGACTTTTGGGGGATAGGACGTTAAGGGACAGCCAGAAGATATGTGAGACAGGCAAAGCCCACTCGGGACTTGAGAATTATTGCTTACAGTCGAGGAGATCCACCACCTCAGCGGAAGAGAGACCCACTTTACTTCCACCCGTCTCCTTCCTTCTTCTGGAGGTCACTTGGGGGCTGGCTGAAGCAGGATGCATGAGGAGCACCAGCACCCCAGGAGGAGCAATCCTGGCTCCTAGCCTGAGTCAGTGCTGACCTCTGGCTGGGCATGAACATCCTCCTTACCCACAGAGGCAAGGAACAATGTAAAAACGGTGCAGGAAAGCACATAAGAGGTGAAGAGCAAGCACAGCCACATCGTCGGGCAGAGAGGGGACCTTGAGCAGCAGCACTGGAGCATGGCAAGGTCTGAGAAGCAAAGTGAGTACTGCTTCAGGGCTGTTTGCTCAGCCAGCTCATCTCTTGTATTTTAATACTCTGGACCCTGCTGCCACCATCCCGCATTGCACCAGCTCTGCTGGGAAGGGCCTCAGTCCATGGAGTGCATCCAACCCCCTGTTAGGCTGGATGGCATTGCTTTGAACCAGGGTCTTCTTCAGCCTCTCAAACACCCTGGTGTCTAGCAGGAGGGACTTAACAGAGCAAGACACAAGAAGTCTCCTTCCTCATAAACCCTGTTGCCTTTTTTTCCAAGGTGAATTTTCACCCTCATCTTTAGCATTTGCTCGTTTGTTCCCCTGTTGACCCCAGAGGCAGCAGCATGCAGGATGTCTGACGGAGAGCTGAGTCACTGCCATTATACTCCATGGAGCCTCACGAAATGGTGAGACACTGGCACCGGGCAGAGAGTGAGTTCAGCCACCATCCTGCGAAAGGACTCATTCTGGGCCCTGGGAATGGGTGAGAAAATGGCCCAAACCTCCCCAGTCCCCCTTCTGAATCAGTCCTGAGAGAGGAGCAGGCTCTGAGAGAGCAAACTCTGGCAGAGAAGAGATGTAACCTGCTCCTTGTTCATCACTGCAGCCATGGCTCTGTGCTTTGTCATGCTTATCTTCACATTTCGTTCAGAGGAAAGGAAAAGAAGATAAAGTAATGTGAGAAAGGTCCTTCAGGAGGTTCTAAATACCATAGTCCAAAAGGCAAGTGCCCACAGTTGGCTCATTGCTGAGAAGGAGAACTCACCTTGTTTTCCACACACAACTTTTGCTATTGGCAGCTGCTGGAGACAAGGACTCGCCAAGGTGGACTTCAGTCTGTGAAGGCCTTTCAGCCATTTACATCTGACCTCTTCTTCCTCAGTCAGAGCTTCTCATTTGCTTCTCACCCAGCCATAACCCTCCCAACTGCGGGGCCAGCGAGCCAACACGGCTTCTTGCCTCCTGCCACTGAGACCAGGCTCAGGCACAGCTGAAGCCCTCCTGAAATAGGCACATGAGAGGAATATCATCAGCTGGTTAATAAATCCAAGGCACAGCACTAATACTGCAGAATAGGAAAATTTCTTTCCAGAATAGGGCACCTACAATGTTTCTGCTGCCGCACTAAATGGAATGGTTTTGCTCTCAGCTGGAGTTCAGGCTTATGTACTAGTTGCTTAAATTTTTTTGTAAAATATGGCCCCCCCAAATGTATTTTTAAAAAACGAAGCCTTGTAGGACTGAGGTTTTTTTGTTTAAAAAGAGAAAGAAAAAAACCAATGACAATAGTCTCCTGACACATGCAGAGCCATTCCAGGAGGATGGGTCGGCTGTGCTCCCACGATATGGGGAGACCAAAGAAATTGCTGGAAATTGCAGAGAAGAGCTGAGTTAGGTCCTAGGGAAGATCCTTAAACTGTGGGGCAGGAGGAATACTGGAGCAAGCTAGAAAAGCCAGTGATGTGTCACACACATCTGTTAAGGACAGTCCAGGCACACTTGGTCCTGCCTTTAAACCTTTAACAATGACTGCCATTTTCCACTGATTTCACAAGTCACATTGTAACTTGAGCATATCTCAGCAGTTACAGTAGACTCTACATGTCCTGGCCTTCTCCAAACCTCTGTCCCAGAACTGTTCTATTTATCGAATATAATAAACAATGACACATTTGCATTTCCATCAAATTTTGCTTTCCAAACATCAGCTAAATAGTCTGATGTCACTGAGCTAAAACTTATTACTCATAAATAATTGCTGGGAAAATGGAAGTTATTGCATTTTTTTATTCTGTGTTTTGCCCATTATCTTCCAAATGCAGGATAAAACTCCTCTGAATAGCATTTTGTATTGATATCAGAACGTGACATTATGCAGCAGCATTCTCCTCTCCAGTTTGTCCCAGTCCTACCCAAGAACATCCTACTATGGTGTCTCCTCATCTTGCTAACGTTCCCACCGAGAGCTGTACTTATGGCAACACAACATCACAAACATTACCGGTGGAAAGCAGCCCCACGGAGACCCTGGTGTTCATCAGCATTAATAACTCATCTGCAAAACTGGATGACACTGTTGGGAGAGGAGAGCTCCTGTGCTCGAATACTGACAGGAGGAGCAAAGCGTTAGGCTGGAAATTAAGACAAGCTTAAAGAAGAATTGCATCACCTGACAGTCTCACGCCAGGTGGTCCCAGGGCAGGTGATGCACGTTTACATGCTAGAACACAAGTTATTTGTGTGGGTGTTCAGCTGGTGAGGGTTACAGGAGAACCAGGGGCGGGGGCCTGGGGAGCAGCGCAGTTGGTGTGTGGGCAGCTCCAGGCCAGCATCCCAGCAAAACCGGGGACCTGGGCTCAGCACAACTTGCAGGCACGTGTGTGGGAGCAGAAAAGGGCCCTGATGTGGCGAGAAGCGTGGTGCCATTTCAGCTGCTGGACTCAGCTGCAATAAGAATAAAAGAAATGGGTATAGGTGAGTGTAAACCAGATTAAAAGCCAGACTTGTCCCATTTTTTTTTTTCTTTTTAGTAACAATTTCTGATGCTCAAGGAAGCAGAGTCATATCAAACCTCAT